TTTTTTTCTGCGCGTGTTTACGCCGGAAGCGAGTTACGATGGGAGAAAAATAAACAAAATATAAAAATAATAATAAAAATTTAAATATGCGCGCGCGCGTAACCGATAGGGGATGGGAATCAGGGGATGGGAGGAGAGTTCATGGGAAGCGAAACACGTGCAAGCGCATTAAGAAGATCAGCAATATAAATGCACAGAATATAGAGAACGGTATTTGTACGATAACGCGGACAAATGTATGTTTTATTCTCGCACGTCATGCTCTGATGCAATTCAAATTGCCGTGTGTATCCTGCTGTCATCCTACTCTCTCTCTTTCTCTCTTTTTTTCTTTCTTCCCCCCTCGTGTCGAACGAGAGTATAGCAACTGTGAATGACGGGCTCGAAGATAATTTCATTTTTTGTTCGCGAACGGGATGCGAGCTCAACATGTACATGTTTTGCGCGGTTTTTTTGCATTTTAATGAGAAGGATGATCGCGGAAATATCCATTTTTTTTTCGTCCGATAATTAATCCGCAAGTATCAATAATACATAATATACATTAATAATACATTTATTATAATAATGTTTAATAACAACCGTAATAAAACATGTATACATAATAATCATATGTATATATTGAATTTGAATATGATATAGTACATTGAATATGAATTGATAATTAATAACAGCAGCATGCTAATCAATTGCGATGCAATTGCATGTTATTAATGGTTTTATGTCGTACATTATTAATTACTTGATAATAAATAATTCTTAGACGCACATTACATATTAATTAAGCCGCGAAGGAAGATAAGAGATAAACAATCGTTTGCATATAGTAGTGAGATTTTATCAACTATACTTTAAACTTTGTGATTATAATATATTCATAACACTAGTTTACAAATTTCACATCTTTTTTAGTGCCAGAAATGGGAAAGACATTTTTTAACATATTTTGGGGCGCTGAATCCAAATCCGCAAGACAAAATGGCCTATCAGGTCAGGTTTTTGAGAAAAACGGAGTTGAAATCCACAAAAAACGCGTTTTTTACTATTTTTGGAAATTCATAGCAGACGAACCCGATGCGCAAGATACTTCAGACAGGGCTCAAACGAAAGCTTGAACATTGTACTTTAATATAAAAATATCGAATCTTTTACCGCAGGTACAATTGAACCTCAGGCGCGTTTTGTTTTTAAGGATAATCACATTGTGTCAAGTAGAACGATTGTCCCATACAATCCGATTGCAGATTTGATATTTTTATATTAAAGTACAATGTTCAAACTTTCATTTGAATCCTGTCTGAAGTCTCTTGCACATCGGGTTTGTCTTTACGAATTTTCGAAGATGGCAAAAAAACGTTCTTTGAGGATTTCAACCTCGTTTTTCTCGAAAACCTGACTGATAGAAATTTTTTGATGACAGATTCATGTTGAGCGTTTAAAATTACTCTAGAAACAGTGTTCAAATGCTCTGACACAAAATCTTGTAAACTAATATAATTAATAACTCCAACGGTTAATATATCGCCCAACTGGAAAATGTAGAAAACAGATCAAATCGAAAATTAAATCTGCCACACATTAATTGAATTAAAAATAATAACAAGAATTAGGCATCTTCCGTCGCGTTACGAGTGACGTTGCATAAGTTCTGAGAGCGCTTAATGCTTCGCAGAGTTCCTCCGTTGTTGTTTCACGCTGCTAGTAGTTCTGAGCTGCGTAGTTTCAGCCGGTCTGTACCACGCACAATCGGATACTGTATAGTGTTATGCGAGCTGCGCGTTCCGTCGACGGCTAGAAGGATCCAAAGTCAAACACGGACATTAAGCAAAGATCTGCGCCGAGCTCGGTGGCTCGGTTGAATTAACAATAAGCAAGCAGCGCCTGGGGGACACTTGTCTATGTTTGACTTTGCGAGCTACAAAAGTATACCTTACTTTACGAGACGTTCATTAAAACCTTGCAATTTGCATTCGCGCACATCTCGCTCTTTGACGTGCTCTCGAGCGTTCTTTTTTTCCGCTTTACGGACCCGAAGCTCCGCGCGCGAAACGTGGAACATGTCTCCAAGTAACCACTAAAGCAAACGTTTTCCAAAGGGAAACATATATGAAGTGTTTATTCAGTAAGAGCGCTGTCCTGAAAACTTCGCTGGAGGTAACGTAGCGCAATATTTTTATAAGTGGAATTTTATTAAAATTTGTGAAAAGATGCGTAAAATTACGACAATGAAAACTTCATCCGTGTTTGATAAACAGAATTATAATATAGACACATTTTAAAAAAATTGCAGCATTTATGTTTGCAATATAAATATTATTATTACGTACATACGTTCATTATTAATTTAATTCTGCCACGATAAATTGAATTGTAAATCTCGATATAAAACAATGACAACAGTTAACACGTTGTTACTTTTTTTACTTGCAGTTAAAAAAATTTAATAGTAATGTAATTGATATATGTGAAATATCTAAATAATGGGGGTGATTATATATGAAAAATATCTCTGTAAATTTATATTTTATAATGTCGATATATTGTTCGTATATTTTTATTATTATAATCAGCGTACGTATTTATTTCGATACGACATTTTGATGTTTCACTTGAAGAAGCTTCAATTGCCATTTGAGATGTAATCAACATAAACGTCAGCGACAATATCGCACGTGCCACCGCGTTTATAGAGTCAGCACGATATTTGTAACGACGAATCGATGTTCCGGTATAGCGACGGCGACCTCATAAAATTTCGCTATCGCAATCCGGGACGTCGCTTCGAAATCCTTCGATAGTATTTGACGTTCGTAAAAAGACGCACACAGGACGAAATTTTGCCACATTCCTCTACAGGCCTGCTTTTAATATACTTATTTCTTTTATTTTAATATCTTAATAAATTTCACGCAATTAATTTAAAAACGAGATTATAAGCGAGAATCTGCCGATAATTGAAGCTAAAGCATATTCTCATTAGATGATATTTTTATTTAACGTGAATTATTATTTTATTTCAAATTGAGAGCATATTTATTCTAATAATTAATTATTTCATCAAACTTATATTTCATCTCTCGAAAAAATCTTACATAATACTTTACTACAATCCAAAAGATGAAAGAAAGAATTTTAACAAGTTATTAAATAGCAAAAAAATTTGAATTTTCTTTCTGCAAATTTCTGTTAATTATACCTATTCTCCCATAGTATATCATAGCATACTACATCATAGCATACTACATTGCTTACATAATTATAATACGAAGGGTTGTTAAGTGTTTGTAATAATCAATATTGAACGCAATTGTGAAATTGAGTTTTTTAATTTTGAATATTTCTATAACTAAGCCGCGAAATATATATTCTCTAGCTGTAAAAAGTATCGACGCACAAGGAAGAAATCCACGCGACTGTAAAAGGTTTTTACGGCGTGATAAAAATGTAACATCGCCGATGCACCGAAAAGCGGCGGCTTTTGTCACGTATAGCCGAGGTGAAACGGGATGCGCTTTACATGCCGGAAATCCTCTTCGTTGTAGAGACTCAATAAAAACGCGGATGAAATCCGGTTTTAAAAATCTACGCGAATAAATCTCGGAAACGGAAGAGATGCCACTTTTTTTTATCTTCGTGTAATAAAATGATAACATTGCAAATTCGCAGGAAATTGCATTCGGTGATAAATAGGAAACGTTGAGAATAATTCGATATTGAGAGAGATCTACTTCGGCGAGCCATAAATTCAAGACAATCTGAAATTTCTCATAATGATAGAACAGAGATCAACCAAAACACGCAACATCCACTATAATAAAAAAAAAAGGATAATATAACTTTTGAGNTTCTGTTCCTTTTTTTATATTATTTAATAATAAGATATAAAAATATATAATTTTTTTCTCGCGCGAATATATTATTTTTTTATTACTGATAGACTTTTTTTATGGGCGCACGGATTATTTTTTTGCTATCCTTTTTTCACGTGTTCTTTGCATGATTTGTGCGAGAAAATTCCCCGATGCGGCTTATCAAAGGTTCCGTGGAAATGCATACCCGTTTTGACATGTATTACGTATTAGGATTGCACATGTTCTGTATGCTACGACATGCGCTATATATGATGCATCGGAGGTGCTCTCGTCGCAGTTTCCTCGTCACGAAGTTAAGTGGTTTCAGCACGTTGAGCTTGACTGCAAAGATTTCAGCGCCGTGGTCTATAATGGTTTAGAACAATGAGAGGAATATGTACGGAATTTAATGGAGATTTAGGAAGCTGATAAACTGCTTTTCAGAAGAATACGAAAAGTGTCATTCAAAAGACACGATAGCCTATTTAATCAGAACGATATTCTAAGAATCGTTTATAAAGTCCTTTCTTTTTATCATAAAAGAAATATATAATAAAAATAATATGTGAAAAGATTGCAGTGAGAAATTTGTCGGTTTTCTCTCCAGAAATATAAAGAGAAATTTTATTAATATCAATGATATATTAATTAAAGAATAACGAAAAAAAGCAAATAACAACAGAAAAATACAAAAATATTAATATGTAGTATATCTTGATTTCAGATTATATATTTCTCAGCAAATATATGTATATCTGTCTTAATTTGATAACAGTATTTCAGGATAACTTTTGGAGATTTCATTGTTTGCAATTTATATTACAATGTTTGTACGCGAGTTGCATTAGCACATGTAGGTACGCTATCGCGAATACGGTTTAATACATTCAGTGTCATCTGGTAATCGCAAGATGAAACTGCAGCCTGTTTATCGGCTGGAAATATTTGCAATATATGTAATCTTCTGAAACAAATCGCATCGTAAAATATATTTTTTATTTCTGCAAGAAATTGAATATTTCTAATTACATTATAGATTTACCGTTTTCGTCAAATAAATATTTTATTTTATTCTTACGTTGCTTATTTCATATCTCGAGATATTCTTTCTCGGGAAGGTATTCTTGCGGAATAAAAATATATCGTGTGTACTATAATAATTATAATATTTATTATCACAAACTATGAGTTAAATCGTACACAATAATGTAAGAAAAGCCGTTCACAATAATTTGACAATAATTCACTCCAGTTCGTCATCCGTTCGTCGTTACAATGAAACGCATTGATCGCAAGCCTCAACCTCGACAATAAGTCGATGTAGATCGACTATTTTATTTAACGGAATACGAACTTTTTACAATTGCGTTTCCCCCTCGAATTTCACAATCAAAACCGAGACGAATCTTTTGGGAATCGGGACACGTGATCAGCAACGTTTCTCTTGTCGCGATTTACAATGAGATTTTCCCTTCTCAGATTCTCTCTTCGTTGCTTATTTATTATTATACACGATATATCGAACGAAAATTTTTACGAAGAAGGCACCCTTTGACAGTGTGAATTATACACTTAAAATTAGATAAAAATTATATTGCTTCGTAGAACTACTATATACACTCATGATCTATAATAATATTTTAGATGCTATATAAAATCTTTATATCTCGTGTGCTATTCAGCTTCTTCATCCTTTAATTTTCTTTACCATTTCACGCGTATTATAAAGTGCACTCGTGTGTGATCTCTTTCAAAAAATCATCTCTTCGTAAAATATATTTTCATATACATATATAAAGAATTATATATATATATTTATATGTATATGATTGTGTATGTAATATAAATTGCGATGATGAAATTACAGTTTGTATATGACCCCGCAGTCCGTTTTCGAAATTATAAATATACTTTGGAATGTGTAGCGAAAATGATGCGAGTAATTTTAGGACGAATTTTCGATCAATTTAAATTCTAAACAATATCGAAATATATTTTTTTTTTTTTTGTCGACTACTCGAGGAGCTCACCAAACTGTAGTTTCAGCATGCTAGATCGGAACGTCCGAAATCTTTGAAATTTTTTTTTTCTTTTTCCTTTTCTTTTTTTATACGTTTTTCTCTTCGCCATGCGGACGTTACGTATACAAAACAATTATATTGCAATTTGTCTAACGATAAAAAAAGAAAAACGGATTCTTGAACAATAACAAGGTGTACCACGTGCTGCTAAGAATTACATAAATGCTCGACGGGCAAGTGATCTCAGAAGTCATCCGTGCCTCGATATTATACGATCATCTTCATATAACGTGGGAAACCGTCGCAAGCGGTTTCCTCTCGACATCGGCCTCTATCTCTGCAGCTTGGGTTATCGATAGTGTTTTAAGAAACGTCACAATTTTCACAATATATCCTGAAAACACCTCCATTTGATACGATCGCGGAGCAATCTCTCGGGTATTAATTCGCGTGAATTTATGTCACATTAAATCGTTCGAGCTTCGCAAACTCGTCTAACAATAAGTAAAATACATTTCATAAACGTCGGATTTTTTCGGCGAAATAACTTTTTCCTTAATTAGTTTTAATTATTCTCGATCGCCGTATGATATATTTTCATATATTTATAAAATAAGTAAAAAATATATCACGATTCTTATATGTAAGTCAATTTCCAGAGAAGAGAGGATAAAATAGACATTCTCTTGTTGGCTCGAATCGATTCCGCGTCGACGTATCGCAATGTAACGTCGTAAATGAAATGGAAATGATTGTCCATATTTATGCGATTGAGTGCAAAATCTGACAAAAGCTCAGCGCGTCGTCGCGAGTAGACGTTTTATATTTATTGCGCAGACTCGGTACGCTGTACAGTTAATAGGAAGTTTGGTCCGACAGTTTCGCAATTGACTGTGACTTGATCTCCGTCGACACCTCATCACATATGAATGGTCGCGGCCGTATAACGGGCTTCTCCTCTTCGCCAGCTCCATTGGCTTGGACGATACTGAAAGTCCCATGATAAATGAAATCAGTCATCAAGCGAGAAATAATTAATACGTCCGCAAATCTATAAGATTTTAAAGCAAGAAGATATCGGAGATCGAAAGATTCAATAAGAGAGATAAGACAAGAAATAATATTCAATCCTTGATAGAATCGATAGAAAGCAAATAAGTAATCAATGTTGCATTATATCAGTAATCAAGTTCAATGCAAGCAATCGATTAATAATGAAGAAACACAATAACCATGTGAAAGATCGATAAGATCACTTGCATAACACTATCATGTATTTATAATAATGTAATTTATATTCTTCTTACCCTAATCAGCATCTGTCCCGATGCGCTGTGAGGGTTGCGATAGGCGTATGCACCCCAAGCCGCGAGACCCGCCACTAAAGCGACGATGGTGAGAATGCCGATTACTCCCGAAACGCCCATATTCATATTGTTCGGAGCTGAAAAGTAAACGGAGCAGACCATTTCAATTATAATAAATTTAATTAGCGTTATAATAAATTTAATTTGCGTTATATTTAAAATAATATATTATATATATACAGAAAATTATTTGTTTCATTTTTTGCGTTTTTCTTCAAAACGAAGCAAAAACGAGCAAATCTCTAAAGGACTTTTTGTCTTAGTTTATCGGTCCCCTACACGCTCCTAAAGTTTTGACATTTAAATTGGGGACACCCTGTATATTAGAACAAATATATACATCGATTATTTCATCTACGATTAATGATCGAATGACATTGTTGAATCTATCGAGTTAAAAGGTCGCGAAAATTAATGATGTCGCACTATTTTGTCAAATTGATGGACATATCGCGACGAGCGATAAACGAGTAGTGGCTTACTGGTACTCTCTAAGGGACTGGTACCGGGTCTTTCCTGCTTGGCGCTCATCTCGTTGGCGGTGATCGACTTCTCGGGATGCACGTGACCGTCGTGATCGTATTCGTCGCCCCTGTAGGTCGTGATCTGTGCCGGGCAGTTGTTCGCCTCCTTGATATTACGCACGTCGCAGCCCTTGAGCAACCACTCCTGCCGCTGTCGGGACGTGCCGGTGCTACATTTTTTCAGCTCCGGGCACCACTTGCAGTCGAATTCGGGCACCTTCGTCAGGCAGTCCCAGCAGTTGTCGAAGTTAAGGCACGTGGGCAAAGCTTTCAGGTAGATGACCGTGCAGCTCTTTATGTCCTGCCGGTTAAAGTTGACGCGGTGGTACTCGTAGATGGTCTTCCGGCGCACAACTGAAAAGCGAGATCGGTGATTCGAATTATCGGGCTGTGTAATTTTAGATATCTTTAGGTCTCTTTAGGTAAAAATAAAACTAGATGCTCCGAATAAAAAACATATATGTATATATATAGTTTGTGTGGATGTGTCTCTATATCTTATTTAGAGAATTTATATGAATTCTTTAAATGTATAAAAGCTCGAATAAAATTTGAAATATCGATATCTGCAAATATTTATACCGGATGGTGCATATTTTCCGCGTGATAACTCTGTTTACATCATATTTTGCGGCTTTATTTGCGTTGTAGCATTTTTTATTCCGAAGGTAGATTTGTAATCATAGACAGATGTAAGTTACGTTAATAATTTTAGATTGTTTCCAGGAGATTCGATGCTTAGATAAATTAACTATAATTATCATTTATCTCTCTTTCTCTTTTTCTGTCGCTGATCTATCTGTGCATGGAAATTTTTCTACGTTTGATGTTTAATAGCAATGATGCAAATGTTATTACGCGCCGCGTAAATAATCGTGATGTCGTTATGTGAACATCCGTCTATAAACGATAGAAAAACGAAGAACTCACAGAACACGGTTCGGTCCATGATGTAGGCGTCGCTGAGGCCGACCTTGACGGGATGCAGCGTGTCCTCGATGTCCTCGATCACCAGCGGTATCACCGAGTAGACGAACACGATGTCGCCGTTCTGATGCAAGGTCACCTGGAAAGTAAACGGGCCGGCCTTTGGGTGGTCCTGCAGTATCACCTTCTCCCATTCGACCGTAAACGCCGTGCCTGTTGCGTGTGAATTCAAAAGAAAATATAATATCTCGTCGCTGCGGATCTCTCGCGAGCATTTTGCGCCGTATCTTTGCCACCAGTTGCTTAGCGCATAATTACGATCGGTAAATTGTCCCGCTGGTTTATCTCGCGAAACAATCGGCTCGGTGAGGCAGAACGAGAAAATCGGCTTAGAAGAATTCGATGAATTTTTTTCGATTTGTTAAAACGAAAGAACAGCGGAGTAAATCTTTTCTTAAATAAGAATCGACATAAATATTTCGAGAAACATGCAAATTGCAGAGGCTCTCGTTTTTTATAACAAGATTTCTGCAATTTTTGAAAAAGCGCGAGCTGATATATATTAAACTATTGCAAGAGAAAACGCGCGAAAGCGAATGGGTTATAGCCATTGGCTTTGATCGATAGCGATTGACTATAGATAGCTTTCGTTCAAAGAAGAAAAAAATGTAAAAACGAACGTCCTTCGAATGCTGTTTGTCGGAGAATCCGATGACTCACCGTTGTCAGCATACTTGACGCAGCTCTCGTTCGACAGACGGGTATCGAAATTCGCCATGAGCGGTGCGATATACTGGGTGGCCGCTAGCCAGCTATGCACGTAGTCGCCGGTGTACAGAAAACCGCCGGTGGCGATGGTAATGTTGCGGACGTTGTATCCGTAGAAAGGGAAATCGAACTTCAGCTTAACGGTCTGCAACGAATCGCGTGAAATTTATCTATAGTAGATTTATCCTTAGAAGAATCGATCGATTTAGTTTTTTACATATTTTGGTAGATTTCTCGTATAAATAACAATTACTTTATTAAGAAATAATCTCTCACCGCGGCGCGTCGATGGCTCTGGCTGAGCAGATGATTAACCCTGAGATCCGGATGATTGTCCATGTCGACCCAGTATTTCTTGCATATCTCGGCGTCGACGATAAAAGTGCTGTTGTAATACTGATGCGTGTCGTAGACCGTCTTGGTGATGTTGTTTTGCGTGAGTGTGGTGTTGGTCACGTCGGAGAATTTGCTGATGGAGATATCACCGATGTCGTCGGACTTTTCGGCGTCCTCGGTGCCGCTCGTCGCCGCGTTCGCGTCCTTCGCCAATTCCGTCTCCTTCGTTTGGTTGTTGCTCTTGTTGCTACTGTCCACTGACGGCAGCTCCTTGGAGACGGTGATGTTTCGCATCGACAACGTGCGATTCGTCCAGTCGTTTAACGTCGCCTGCGATTATCAAGGAAAGGACGGGGTCACAAATCATTTAAATTTTATCCAGACTTTTTTTTACTAGAAGTCACATAACTAAAAAATGCATTTTTTTTTTCTTTTGGTTTCATAAACTTTAAGAGCGACTTTTTTGTGTGAATTGAGATCATTTAATTTTCGAAATAACCCTCTCGCTATTTATCAATAAATCAATCCATCATTGCACTTACCGTATCATCGGCTTTCACCGATTGTGTCACCTTCTTCTTGGGGTTGGTGAAGTTAGTGGAAGGGATCTTGATGCCTTCGGCGTCCTTGACTGATTGGACCTGAATGACTGGAGTGGAAGTGGCCTCAGTGGTTCTGAATTGGACAGTGGCTTCACTGGAGTAACCCGAGATATACTTTACGTCATATGTCGGTCGTGGGTTGGTCGTGTTTGTCGCCAGCTGCGGTGGCTGCTGCGGCTGTTGTTGCGGCTGCGGCGATGCTTGATCCTTGGGCGGCTCGTCCTTCTGCTCGTTCGTCACCACCAACTCGGACGTCGCCCGGCGTATTCTTCCTCCCGGCACATTCTTGTCGCCGATCAATATGAGTTTCCAAGTATCATAATGGAACGGTGATAAACTACGCTTGCTCTTGCATCCAGCGTAATTATAATAAGAATCATCTGGAATAAAAAGAAGATGGTTCTTATCGTGATTTCGAGATCTTGAAATATTTTTTAACGCCGGATAATATCGCATAAAATGAAGAGAGATTGAAATAAAAAAGACGATATCGAGGAATTTAATTCAGATTCTGCAAAGAAATATCTTAAAGATTATTTATCGATATATTACAAAGGAAAAAATTTCAGAGTCCTTGTATTTAAACATCCACTAAAGTGAGTGATTAATTTTTTTAAGAAAAATCCAGAAAAAAATTAATTGATAAATTATTGTTAATCAATCTTAATGCGCGTTTTTTTTTTATTTTTTGTATCAATCGATCTTATGGAAAGATACGTGCGATATCCGCGCGAAAAATCATCTTGATCCGTCCTTGAGCTCGCGTTGCACTTACGATTTTATGCGACTGATTATTGAATAATGACTCGAGCCAATCTATGGCACACATCGATAACTGCATGACGTGCGTGCATTGTCTCAGCTTGCCGATGTGATTCTCTTTGAGGGGATCGGGTGTCCATTTAATCGATACGTCTACGTCAAGCCTGTCGACGGTGTTCGAAATCAGTACGGATGAAGCGCGGATTAACCTCGATTTCTACGCTCGCGATAACTGCGACGAGGATAATGGACAGTTTGACGGCAAAAGTGACACAGGGGAAAAAATTTTCGCAATCGGTAATCCATATTAGATTCGTTGTCAGTATCTTATTTTTAAAGAAATTAATATATTCTATGTATCTCCTAGTCATAATTTATCGGCACAATTTACTTACCCTACAAATCTTAAATTGCTTTTCTACAAAGATATAAATATAAATCGATGTATTGATTTTTAATTTTGACAGATTAGCATTATGGTAATTAATTTAAAAATAATGGCTACATACAAAAATATATATATATATATAATTTGTTAATAAATTATGGTAATTAATTCCGCGATATAAAAGGATAATATATATTTAGAATCGACGGTAGCGAGAAACGGGAAGTCAGATTGCACGATCGGCCGGATAGAGCAATAATTGACATATCGAAGCAAACGCGTAAGCTTGACGTCACAACGTAACGCACAAACCGGAATCAATCGACCAAACGGGAAATTTATATCCTTTCGATGATTATATGCGTCTCTAACTTTGCTAATGACTAAGTTTTACTCGTAGAAATATATTTAGATTGTGCGCCTTAATCTTGTTTTCACGCAAAACTTCGCATCGGATTTGATCGGGTAATCGTGACTCAATGCAATCGCGACAATTGCTATTTCAAAATAATCGTTCCAATTGTATAATCATTATCTCAGCTACGTAACTGGATTGTGATTTTACGATTACACGAAACTCTCGCGGCCGACTTGGATTTAATATTTCACGCTGCTGATTGTCATTGTCAGTTATAATATAAATATGATATATAACAAAGTATATATATATATATGCGTCCGAGGAAAAATATTCCCGACTAAATTGGATTGAATAGAAGCAAAACGAAGTTGACGAGCGAGCGCACAAAACAGCTGTGCCTCCCACAGTTATTACTTTAATGTTGTTTACTGCAATTGGGAGACTGCAGGTCGCGAGGAAATTGTCAAATATGCTAAAAGAGAAGAGGAAGAAAGAGAGAGAGAAAGAGAGAGAAACTATTGCGACATGCACCCGAAATATTTGACTTGTTCCAATGTCAAATTTCGCGAATAACGTGTGTTTTCGACACCGATAATATAAAGTAAAATTGTAAATGTTAAAATTACAATAACACCATCAGTAATCATATGTTACTGTCACAACGCAGTCAAATCGTGTCACATTTAAAAAATGGACGATACAGCTGAAGAAGAAATTCTTGTAAATCGATCCGAGAACAAAAATTTTTTGCTACTAGCCATTTTTTGAAAAAAACGAAATAAAAATTAAATTATTGTGATAAGGTGCACGTTCGATCATTTGAAGTCGCGATATTAACGTGTCTCACGTGATACGCGCATAATCAATATCCGTACGATAGATTGACATTTATATATCTGATAGATCCGCGTGTTTTAAAGTGCAATGTTATACGCTGTTGATCGAAACGCAAGCCGGTTAGCCAGGAACGATGCGAAGAACGCGTTGGCGTCCCGACGCCTCCGCATGTACGCGTGATATATTTAGACGGCGTGAGTAAAAAGATGCTCCGACATCGCCGTTTTTACGCCATAAATTAAGCATGGCTAAGAATAAATTATACACTTGTCGAAAAAATTCTCTCTCTCTCTCTCTCTCCCTCTAGCAATGTCAAAATGAAAAGCTTAAATAAGATTACCGTAAAAAAAAACTTGGACCATTTTAAAATTTCTTCAAAATTAATTAATATAGAGAAAATCTAGGCATAAATAATTTAATCGAAAACTTTTTTTTTATTATTAATTTGAGACAAGATTAAACAGCCAACATTTTTTAGCGATAACAGCCATGATGACGCGATTAAAATGATGACAATTATTTTTATTGATTGTATATTTATATCTCTGCTACCATTAACCTGATTACTCCAATTCTCATATAAAAATAACTTCGTATTTTCATACGCGTATCATTAAATTGTCCCGATTTCGAATCTTTCGAAGAAACATTTCTCTGTCACATTCCGTCTCGCGAAATGGAAAATAACCGTGGTATTTTACCACGTAACCTTGTAGCATCATTAGCGTGGAATTCTCAATAAATAAGGAAAAGAAAATATCTACCATTCGTGCATATAGATTAACATTTATTATTTTATGTTATCCTGTGTAAAGACGTGAATGAGAAATAAGAATTAATTAAAGAGAGATTAAATTTAAAAAATGAGTTTTATTGGAAGAATTTATGCTTGGCATCAATTTTTGCGTACGGAAAATAAACAAGAATTTCTAGGCAAGCGTGGAAAATTCACGGTTTACGTATGGATGGGTTAATAGTTTGAAAAATAGCTGTCATTAACTATAAGACACGGTGAGCGATTTTTTTTTTTCGCGAGATTGCTTGACGGAATTTTCAATGAATTGCAGATCAAACGAATCGTTGAATATGAAATTTGGCTTCCATTAGATCGAAAGCAGACGCGTATATGATAAAAATAACCGTTCTCCGAAGAGGCCGTTTGCACTTTATCGGGCATGCACGCGCGCCCAATATGTCCTCGTCCTAAATCTTTTTAAGGAGATTCGGCCATTGTGCACGCGCGATCGACGGCAAGTCCTTGAGTTTGTTCGCGACGATGGATCGACTTTGATGGGATCGCGAATAAATTATCCGATATCTACGAATCATTAATTATCTCAAGGAATCAATCGAATGTATAAGAGAATAGAAAGAAATTTCGGATAATTATTCTCTCGAGAGAGAAAACGCGATAGAGATGTAAACTAATTTTTTCTTTTACGTTAAAGAATTTTCTGTCTGAAATTTTCCTTCAATTTTTGCACAAACATATATGTGAATAATTGAAAATTCCCACACAATCATATGATATATTGCGTGACGTTGTGATGTCATTCAAATGTTTACCTTTGTATGCATTAATAATTTTCCGCGACACACTTTATTAGCCGACCGTAATTGGATGCGCGTGAAAGGTTTTCCGTGTAATTTGATAATAGGGTGCGCTCATTAGTTCCATTATACGCTTTTTCCGTTTCCTTTCTATTATTTTTTACCGCGATATCAAGACGGAAACGGCACGATGGTCAATGTCAATGCTACGCTCGCTGCTATCAGATTCACCCACATTTCGAGAATGTTATTTCGGTTTCGAATGAAATACACCGCAAAATACGCGACCGCGAATGTTTTTACGATTGAGGAAAGAAAGAAGATGAATGGAAAAAGGAAAAATCAAAATATCTCTTGAGATATTCCAATATCGATGACGAAGTGTGTTTTCATCAAATCCATAATAAAATGGCATTTCAACCGATGACTCCATCGAGGTTTGCGTCATCTTTTAATTTATTGCAAAAAAAACCGCGGTTCGAATGTCAGATATCGAGAGGCGCCATAAGAAAAATGAGAGTGCGCAAACAGACGAATCGTTTTCCAATCTTTCGGGTCACGCTCTTC